TCAGTTCTAGTTCAGTTCTAGTTCAGTTCTAGTTCAGTTCTAGTTCAGTTCTAGTTCAGTTCTAGTTCAGTTCTAGTTCAGTTCTAGTTCAGTTCTAGTTCAGTTCTAGTTCAGTTCTAGTTCAGTTCTAGTTCAGTTCTAGTTCAGTTCTAGTTCAGTTCTAGTTCAGTTCTAGTTCAGTTCTAGTTCAGTTCTAGTTCAGTTCTAGTTCAGTTCTAGTTCAGTTCTAGTTCAGTTCTAGTTCAGTTCTAGTTCAGTTCTAGTTCAGTTCTAGTTCAGTTCTAGTTCAGTTCTAGTTCAGTTCTAGTTCAGTTCTAGTTCAGTTCTAGTTCAGTTCTAGTTCAGTTCTAGTTCAGTTCTAGTTCAGTTCTAGTTCAGTTCTAGTTCAGTTCTAGTTCAGTTCTAGTTCAGTTCTAGTTCAGTTCTAGTTCAGTTCTAGTTCAGTTCTAGTTCAGTTCTAGTTCAGTTCTAGTTCAGTTCTAGTTCAGTTCTAGTTCAGTTCTAGTTCAGTTCTAGTTCAGTTCTAGTTCAGTTTCTAGTTCAGTTCTAGTTCAGTTCTAGTTCAGTTCTAGTTCAGTTCTAGTTCAGTTCTAGTTCAGTTCTAGTTCAGTTCTAGTTCAGTTCTAGTTCAGTTCTAGTTCAGTTCTAGTTCAGTTCTAGTTCAGTTCTAGTTCAGTTCTAGTTCAGTTCTAGTTCAGTTCTAGTTCAGTTCTAGTTCAGTTCTAGTTCAGTTCTAGTTCAGTTCTAGTTCAGTTCTAGTTCAGTTCTAGTTCAGTTCTAGTTCAGTTCTAGTTCAGTTTTAGTTCAGTTCTACTTCAGTTCAGTTCTGGTTCGGTTTTAGTTCAGTTCTAGTTCAGTTCTAGTTCAGTCCTACTTCAGTTCTAGTTCAATTCTGGTTCGGTTTTAGTTCAGTCCCGCATTTTTAAGTTAAACGCTATAAATGCTACAAATATTAAGAAATATAGCACACATTTAGGACACGTGAAAATTAATTTCCCTGAAGCTATGCCACATTCTCAATAACTGTTTAACTATAGAAATGTCTTAACTACACGGCCTAAATTTATTAATTTTCAATTACACTATTTCATTTGCTAATTGTTGCTGCTAAACTAAAATAGTCCAATATTTAACATGTTCAACTTAAAATAAACAACCATGTCTAACTAGCTTTAGTGTTATTTTTGGCATTTATTTTTAAACCAACGTTTGCCTTTATACTATGTTAACACGCAATCATAATAAAACTGATGGGTTATTGGCCTGGCTGAAAAGTCACTAAATTGTAAGTGTCCAACATTTGGCTTCTTTGCCATAAAGTATGCTCTATAATTCTTTTTCAGCACCACAAAGAAATTAAAACATTTACTTTTCAGTTTTAATTACCTAGTGTTGAACAAAGGTAAGCTGTATAAGAAAATGTTGAAAAGGAAATGAAAGAAACTACAGCACAAAACAAAAACATAAAAAAAGACATGGAAATGAAAAGTTCGTTTTTTTATAGCCAAGAGGAAGAGTGTAATTAATTTTCAAAAAGAAATTTAATTCACTGGACAGCTAACAAGGATTTAAATAATTTAAATTAAATTTTTGTACAGTTTAGGAGTGGTAAAGAAAATCAAACAGTATGAAATGAGCAGCTAAAAGTTTAATAATTGTTAAACGCCTTAAGGTATACTTTGATTTTATTATTTTTATGAATTAACTACAAATGTTTATTTTAGAAAATTTCATACTTGAAAGCTTAGCATAAAATGGATTTAGTTATATATTTTTGAAACGCCTAAATGTTTACTTTTAAGAATTTAAAAATATTGTACTTTAAAACAAATCATATCGAAAATTAGTCTATCGAATAAATTTTAAAGATTATCTCATAATTTTTCATTATCTTAAAAATCTGTTTTTGATTTTTGTATAAAGAGTCTGCTAATGCCTAAATGGCTGCAATGATTTTGTGCTTAATACAACAGCTTCTGTATATGCTACATAAATACTATATATTGCTTCCACTTAAAGTTTATTGTTAGATTTTGTTTTATTTTTTATTTCACTAACAGCACAGCTGGTCATCAAAATAATTAGCTGTTCATCATTGTTGTCAGCAACATCATCAGCAGTAGTAGCAATAGCAATAGCCATATCATCATTCTAATATGACAAGTTAAACTCTCATGTTAATGAGTTTCGTTTAAACTCTTGTTAAGTGTCGAAAAACTTCTCTTATTGTGGACTTTTCAGCTTCTAGTTCAATTTATATTTATTTGCTGTTGCTGTCATTACTGCTACGTATTCCATGAAGAAAATTCTAACATTAAAAGAAAAATGTGAAGAAGAAATCTATATTCATTAAGTGTTGATCTTGACCTCTTTTAAACTACACTTTATGACTTTGTTGTCATGTTGCTGGGCTAATGTCGAGGGTGGGCAATGCTGTTAATGCTGCAGCATTTGTTGTTGACGGTTTTGATGTCAGAAATTACAAGCTAATTATAGTTTGTGTTATGAAAACTAAAGCTAATTAAAATGCTCGTATACTTTTCCTTTTAATTGCTACTGACGCTAATTTATTATGTTGCTTCGACGTTTTTCACTAGAATTTTTATGGTTTAAAAATTAATTGAATTTTTTTTAAAACGTCGTATGTGGCGAGTAGTAAATGTTAGACACATTTTGTTTTTAAAATAGTTTTTTAATTAAGCTGGAAATCAGTTCTAGTTCGGCTCTAGTTCAGTTCTAGTTCAGTTCTAGTTCTAGTTCAGTTCTAGTTCAGTTCTAGTTCAGTTCTAGTTCAGTTCTAGTTCAGTTCTAGTTCAGTTCTAGTTCAGTTCTAGTTCAGTTCTAGTTCAGTTCTAGTTCAGTTCTAGTTCAGTTCTAGTTCAGTTCTAGTTCAGTTCTAGTTCAGTTCTAGTTCAGTTCTAGTTCAGTTCTAGTTCAGTTCTAGTTCAGTTCTAGTTCAGTTCTAGTTCAGTTCTAGTTCAGTTCTAGTTCAGTTCTAGTTCAGTTCTAGTTCAGTTCTAGTTCAGTTCTAGTTCAGTTCTAGTTCAGTTCTAGTTCAGTTCTAGTTCAGTTCTAGTTCAGTTCTAGTTCAGTTCTAGTTCAGTTCTAGTTCAGTTCTAGTTCAGTTCTAGTTCAGTTCTAGTTCAGTTCTAGTTCAGTTCTAGTTCAGTTCTAGTTCAGTTCTAGTTCAGTTCTAGTTCAGTTCTAGTTCAGTTCTAGTTCAGTTCTAGTTCAGTTCTAGTTCAGTTCTAGTTCAGTTCTAGTTCAGTTCTAGTTCAGTTCTAGTTCAGTTCTAGTTCAGTTCTAGTTCAGTTCTAGTTCAGTTCTAGTTCAGTTCTAGTTCAGTTCTAGTTCAGTTCTAGTTCAGTTCTAGTTCAGTTCTAGTTCAGTTCTTGTTCAGTTCTTGTTCAGTTCTAGATCAATTCTAGTTCAATTCTAGTTCAGTTGTAGTTCAGTTTTAGATCAGTTCTAGTTCAGTTTTAGTTCCGTTAGACTCTGCGTAATCTACAAAGTGTTTCTTAAATAGAATAGTTACTATCTGCACATCATAAAGACAGTATATTAAGATATGAAGTATGTATATTGTTTACTGCTCACATAGAAATGTGAGAGAGTTTGGCTAGTTTGTTAAACCTGAAAGCTTTATATCCTATTGTAATTAACTTAGTTAATAACTTAGGTTTTTAAAAAAACTTTGTTATTTAAACTATAAAATATCCAATTTACAATTTTTGTATAAACAAATCAATTTTCCTTCTGCCTAGAGCACTTAGGGAACTTTTAAAAACTTTTCTCAAACCCTTAAAAAAGCATTAAACACTACAACAATTTGCAGCATCAGATTATTTTCAAGGCAATAAATAGAAATCCTACAATTTGTTAAGTGTTTAGCAAATATTAGCCCACTTAGAGGATGTTAGATATGCTATTCTCTTATCCCCCCCATCTAAAATCAAATAAGGACTTTTACTGTAAATGTCTTGTAAATTTGCCTCTTAGCTGTTTTCTTCAGTTTTCTTCTTTCCACTTGATTGATAGATTGATTTTCTTATGCATACAAAAAGTAATTAATATTCTTCATAATAAGAAAAATTATTACCCTGACATATTTAACCTTCTTCGGTTTTTTCTTCTAGCTAGTTACATGTTGTTTTTTTCTTTTTGTTTACTGTGTGTGTTTTTTCTGCTTTTGTCGTTATTGTTTTATTTAACTTCTTGATGAAAAATTATAAGTACAAACAATATGCATTCGTTACAAGGACAGCAGCACAGGATATTTGCATAATGAATTTTAAATATGTTTTTTCCGTTTCAGTTTCTATGTTTTTTTTTTTTGTGTGTTCACTCTGCTTTATGTTTTTTGTTAAAGTTAAAATAACAACAAAACATTTTATAATATTAATAACAGTAATAAAGGACAAACGAATGTGACATTTAAAAAAAAATGTAAGGCACAGGACAGAGAATATGATGGAAAAACTTTTTAGCACGAAAATTAGTTTTAAATTATTAGTTTTTTTCTTTTGGGGAGTGTGTCTAGTAAGTTTTAAAATGGAGTGGGTATTAAAGGGGTTTTAACAACGTAACAAATTGTGACCCTGAAAGTATGCTTTAAATGTTTTAAATTTACAATTTTAAGTTTTAAAGCAAACTGTTGTAATATTTAAAAAATTTTTAAAATAAATAAATGTTCGCCTTGAAAGTATGCTTTAAAGGAATTAGTTTTAAAATTATAGTTTTTAGTTATTTTGGTTTTTAACCCTAAAAGTATGCTTTAAATAGTTATTTTAGTTTTAAGCCTTAAAAGTATACATAAGATGTATTATATAAGTCTAAAGTTTTATTTTTTTAGCCTAATTTTATGCTTCAGTTATTTCCAATTTATGTCTAAATGTATGCTTTACCTAAGTTTGTTTTTTCCTCCCATTTTCATTGATTATTTTATTTAAGGAGTTAGAATTTTAATTTTTAATTTATTTGCCTAATTAATTGATACTTACAGTTCATGTCCAATATAACTTTTTTGGTTAAAGCTGCCACAACATGACCATTACTGGCTTGACACGTATAAACCTGTAAATAAGAGAGAAAGAGAGAAGCAATGAATTAAAATTTGATTAGAGTTAAAACAAGTAATGTTGTGTTGAATCTTATTTTACCTTTCACTACAATAAAAACTTAAAGAATTTAAAATTTTTTGTTTCTTTTCTCATAATCTTCCATCCCTGAACAACATTTAGCACAGGAAGCTGTATTGTTATTGCAATGAACAACAGATAGTAAGACATACATACGGATAGATAGACAGACAGACTGATAGATAGCAGACAGACAGGCGGATATAATAGACAGACAGCCAGACAGACGGACAGACAGACAGATAGACAGCAGGCAAGCAAACATACAGATAGACATCACCATAGACAGACAGACGGACAGGCAGACAGACGGACGGACAGACAGACAGACAGACAGACAGACAGACAGACAGACAGACAGACAGACAGACAGACAGACAGACAGACAAACAGACCGGCAGACATACTGACATACAGATAGACATCACCATAAGACAGACAGACATACTGATAGACATCACAATATAAATGAAGAATTCGGAATGCTCATGTAGATGATATAAAAATCAAACTCACTTACTAGTAGGGAGTGAAATAAGTACTTACTTACTACAATTCGCTGCAAACAAGGAGATATGAAAGCAGTTTCGTTTTAAAAGAAGACTACAGAGATATCTACTATATAATTATTTGCATTACTAGACTCCTTCTTAGTATTGTAGTATTCATTAAAAAGTAAGTTATTATGTAAGTACAACACATTACCATGTTTTTGCCGGGTAAAGTACTGATAAAGTACTTCCATTAAGGTGTTGAATCAGTAAATTCATAATCACAGTATGACGATTCTGCTTAAATCAACTATCAAACCATAAGTCACTGGGAAATTATAACTTCAATAGCTGCCTTTACAAACTGATTTTTTCAACAAAAGTCTACCATAAGATGATAATATTGACATCATGGTTTTTTACTTAAACCAAAAAACTACACAAAACACTTCATTTTTTATACAATTTTTACGATTTCTTCATTTTTAATGCAAATTCCAGCTGAGCGAAATAAAAGAATATTTTTATTATACTTTTTTTTCTGGTATAATATTAACATGTTGATTAATTAATTGGAGCATGTTGTGTTTCATATATAGTAAAGAACATATGAATACTACATGTTTTTTTTTTTTTTTTTCGTTTTATTCTCACTAAAAACAAAATCAATAAAAAACTTGATGATAGTTGTTGAATTCTGTTAAAAGTCGTTGAAAAACGGCAGGGTGTATTTGCCTACAATGAAAGTTTAATACTGTTTTTTTCTGCTGCTGCCTTTCCTGTTCGCATTTCAACGCTTTATGGTTTTGTTTGGGAATTTTTTTCATTTTAGCCCAATTGAAATAAAATGTGGTATTTGATGTTTTTATATATATGTTTGTGTATAAGGCGAAATAATAAAATTAATTAAAAATCTGTCTGCAGATTTTATTTTTTTTTTTCGTAAGAAGATATGTATATATTTACAAAATGTGTTTATTAAGTTTATTGTTATGGCAACAGCGTAAAAATTTATATAATAATTCTTTAATAAATTTATATAACTTTCAGTTTAATGTTATTAAATTATATGATGTCTGTGTAATTGCAAATAAAGCATAAAGAATAAATAATAATGATTATTTTATTGTATTTTGTATATTTTTACGTTTTACTTTGGTGTAGCATAAGCCATAGGGGCACAAAACTAAAGCATACTTTAGGGATGTCAATAAAATTGTTCAGTGATTTCAATTTGATTTCTTTTGCAATTATCAGGGATTTAGTAAAATAAAAAAAAAGTTATTTCTTTTAATAGAATTCTAAAATATACTTTCTCCCAGGATTAAAATGTCCTTTTTGGAGATTTTTTCCTATAACCGGACAGACAAGAATGTAAACAGATCTAAAGCACTATAGTTACGATTAAAGATAGATCAATAGTAAAAATTACAGACTGATCTTCAGATAAGACTATAAACTGATCAATAGTCAAGTCTAAAGACTGATTGTATAGTGAGGATCGTAGACTGATTTATAGTCAAGACCAGAATGATAAAATGATCTATAGTGAAGACTAAAGACAGATCTATAGTCTCGTATAGCCTTATCAATAGTCTTGACAATAGACTGATCTATAATCTTGACTATAGACAGATCGATAGTCTTGACTGTAAATTGATCGATAGTCTTGAGTAAAGACTGATCTAAAGTCTTGACTATTGACTGATCAATAGTATTAACTATAGAATAATCTATCGTCTTGACTATAGACCGTTCTATAGTCAAGATTACAGACTTATCTATAATCTTAACTACAGGCAGACCTATAGTCAAGACTATAGACTGATCTATAGTCAAGATCGTAGAATATATCTATAGCCTTCATTATAGGCTTATCTATAGCTTTGACTATAGTCTTATCAATAGTTTTGACTACAGACTGATCTATTGTCTTTTCTATAGACTGATCCATAATTAACAATATAGACTGATCTATAATAAAGATTGTAGAATTATCCATATCCTTGACTATAGACTGATCTATAGACTTGACTATTGACTGATCTGTAGTCAAGACTATATACTTATCTGTTGCAAAGGTTACATAATTATCAGTAGTCCATATTATATACTGATCTATAGACCTGATTATAGACTCAGCTATAGTCAAAACTACAGATTTATCTATCGTCAAGGCTACAGACTAATCAATAATAAAGACGATAAACTGATCTATTGTCAAGACTATAGAATGATCTCTAGGCAAGAATAAGACTGATCTATAGTTAAGTCTATAGACTGATCTATAGTCAAGAATATAGACTGATCTGTAGTCAAGTTTATAGACTGATCTATAGTTAAGACTATAGACTTATCTATAGTCAAGACTACAGACTGATCTATAGTCAAGACTATAGACTGATCTATAGTCAAGACTATAGACTGATCTATAGCCAAGACTATAGACTGTTATATAGACAAGACTATATACTCATTTATAGTCTAGACTACAGACTGATCTATAGTCTAGACTATAGACTGATCTATATACTCATTTATAGCCTAGACTATAGACTGATCTATAGTCTAGACTATAGACTGATCTATAGTCAAGACTATAGACTGATCTATAGCAAGACTATAGACTGAACTATAGTCAAGACTATAGACTGAACCATAGTCAAGACTATAGACTGATCTATAGTCAAGACTATAGACTGATCTATAGTCAAGACTATAGACTGATCTATAGTCAAGACTATAGACTGATCTATAGTCAAGACTATAGACTATTTTTTAGTCAAGACTATAGACAGATCTACAGTCAAGACTATAGACTGATCTATAGTCAAGACTATTGACTGATCTATAGTGAAGACTATTAACTGATCTATAGTCAAGACTATAGACTGTTGTATAGTCAATATTATAGACTGATGTATAGTCAAGACTATAGACTGATCTATAGTCAAGACTATAGACTGTTCTATAGTCAAGACTATAGACTGATCTATAGTCAAGACTGTAGACTGATCTATAGTCACGACTGCAGAATCAGCTAGTGTAACGAGCTGTAGTCAAGACTACAGACTGATCTATAGTCAAGACTATAGACTGATCTATAGTCAAGACTATAGACTGATCTATAGCCAAGACTATAGACTGTTATATAGACAAGACTATATACTCATTTATAGTCTAGACTATAGACTGATCTATAGTCTAGACTATAGACTGATCTATATACTCATTTATAGCCTAGACTATAGACTGATCTATAGTCTAGACTATAGACTGATCTATAGTCTAGACTATAGACTGATCTATAGTCAAGACTATAGACTGATCTATAGCAAGACTATAGACTGAACTATAGTCAAGACTATAGACTGAACCATAGTCAAGACTATAGACTGATCTATAGTCAAGACTATAGACTGATCTATAGTCAAGACTATAGACTGATCTTTAGTCAAGACTATAGACTATTTTTTAGTCAAGACTATAGACAGATCTACAGTCAAGACTATAGACTGATCTATAGTCAAGACTATTGACTGATCTATAGTGAAGACTATTAACTGATCTATAGTCAAGACTATAGACTGTTGTATAGTCAATATTATAGACTGATGTATAGTCAAGACTATAGACTGATCTATAGTCAAGACTATAGACTGATCTATAGTCAAGACTATAGACTGATCTATAGTCAAGACTGTAGACTGATCTATAGTCACGACTGCAGAATCAGCTAGTGTAACGACTGTTATAAAGCAAATAAGAGAGCATTATCCGGTTTCTCTCCACATTGTTTTCTTGAGTCAAATTGTGATACAATACTTCGTATGGAAATTTTTTTTCATCAAAATTTGTGGATTCCCTTTCTCTATTATTTTCGCTTACTAGGGATGATTTTTTTTCCTTATAAAAAAAGGAATTAACAGAAATCAATTCTCAACACAGTCTCTTCCAGCTAGTGTAATTTATTCTGTTTTTTAAAGGAAAAATTAATAATTACTAAGACTTTTATCCTGATTTAATGACAAATCTATAATTCTTAATAACACTGACTCTTACTTCCACTCATTCTTAACACGCAACGAAAAAAAAAATCCTTATTACCAAATTTGTATTCTACAATATTTTTTACATTTAGTCATCCCATCATCATCAGTATCCTGTGTTAAAAGAACACAAAAAAAAAAATCACAATTATGTTTCATTCCTCTAACAGGCTTTGTCAACATCTTCGAAAGGAATAAGTCCTGTATTTTGCATTTATTATTTATTGTATGAGTATTAATATTATAGACTCTGTTTGTTATTACTTTCTAAATAAAAAGAAATAAAAAAGTAAAATAAAGTAACTTTATATTTAGTCTTCTTATTTAAGGGGGAGGGGGGGTAAGGAATATTAAATGTATTTGGATCTTAAGATGGTTGGGTGGTGGCTAAGGGA